CATATCTGAATGCTCTCCTGTCCTCTGCCATCCTCCTCATCCCTGCCATACCTGCCCCCATAGGTGCAGTCACTTTGTCAGTCTCGCATTGAAGATCTTTCTCCCCTTCACTGACTCTCCACCTTTCCAAGCATGAGGTCTCTTTTCAAGGAATAGCCCCTCCTACTTTGAAGTGCGGTGTTGGAGAAGAGTACTGAATATATCAGTGACTGCCAAAAGAGTATGTCTTAGAGAAGATGCAACCAGATTGCCCCTTGCAGGCAAAGATGATAATAGTTAGTCTCACATATTTGGGGCATGTTGCCAGGAGAGTATATTAACCCTAACATGGGAACTAGTTGATTTTGTCAGGCTGCTATGCTTGAAATGAACATCCTAAAGTAGAGGAGAGGATAATCTCTGCCATCAAGAAAGAAAGGCACATTCTATGGGCCCCAAATCCCTGCACTGAGCTTATCTTTGATCCAGAAGACAGCTATATCACCAGAGAGATGTTGAAAAAGGCAAGCAGCAGCTGTGGAGACATGGTGGCAACAGAAATAAGACAAAAGCTAAAAAGGCAAAGCAGTAATTGATCTAACTTGGTCCCATAAGGAGAAATACTGTATAACACCATTATTGTAGAAACATAAAGATAACTAGTAAAACATGTATGAGGATCCAAGGGGGGAGGACAAGAGCAGAGGGGTGAGGATGGGCAAGGGAGTAATCATAGGGTCACACATTTTGATGCATAGAAGGAGGGGTGAGTAAAGAAAATGGAAAAGATCTGATGTGAAAAACAATATATATGAGCTTTGTAAGTGAACCAGTATAAAATAAAAATTTCATTAAAAAATAAGGCAAAGCAGTATGTTTCTGGTTGTCTTAGTTATCGATGTTCGTGCCTTCAAGTTAATGACTTGAAGGTGACTCAGAGACACTAAGAACAACAGTTGAAACCTGGCCCTATCCTGCAAGATCCTCACAATCTCTGTCATACTCAAGCCCATTTTTTAATTTACTATTTCAATTCATCTTATCAAGTGTCTTATCTTTGTTAGTATTAGTTAACTACTGCTTCTATAGTATAGATACAAGTGGATGGTTTCAATGAACAGAAATCTCTCTCTCTCTCATTAACATCAAGTCAGTACTGACTCATAGCTGACTCTCCTTTGGGTTTCTGAGACTACAGATAGAAGGAGAAGAGAGGGCCAATCTTTCTCCCAAGGGTTTGCTGGTAGATCCAATCCACTAGAGAGGCACAGGCTTTGTGCTGGTAGTACAACTCCCTACGACTTTGCCATCAGAACTCACTTCTGACAGTTTAGTAAGTTAGAAGTCCAAATTCAGGGTGATGAAGGTCTGATCTCTCTTTATTGTTCTTGGACCTCTCTGATATCAAGGAGCTTCACTGAAGAGGGGCTAAGGTCAAAAAAGATGTCCTGTATTCTTGGTGATTATTTCTTGACGGTACTGAAGTTTCCTCCTTTATGGCTCTTCCTCATCTTCTATCTGTGTTATTGTTGTTAAGCTTCAGCTTGAACTTGCAT